GAGGGCGCCCCTGACTCGTGCCGGGGCAGGAGATGTCGCCACGTTCAGGCTCGATCCGTGCGGGTGAGGAACACGCCGTCGCTGCACCGCGTTGTACGGGCGGGCGCCGCAGTGCGTGGCGTGTTGGGTGTGAAGTAGGGTTTGGGCAGGAGATGTCGCCACGTTCAGGCTCGATCCGTGCGGGTGAGGAACACGCCGTCGCTGCACCGCGTTGTACGGGCGGGCGCCGCAGTGCGTGGCGTGTTGGGTGTGAAGTAGGTTTTTCATGTGCCTGCGTGTTGTTAGCGAGGACGGAAGCGGCTGAACGCTAGATTAACAAACAAGGTTGTCGGGAGGCTTTAATTTGTGGAGTCAATAAAATGTAAAGTATCTCTTACATCTTCCACAACTCCTGTTTGTCCTGCTACCAGGAGGTAGCAGAGGATGTCTTTTCGTGGAAGAGGAGGTGGAGGAGGAAGAGGAGGCGGCTTCAATCGTGGAGGCGGTGGCGGCGACAGAGGTGGCTTTAATCGAGGTGGACGAGGTGGCTTTGGACGGGGAGGTGGACGAGGAGGCTTCAACAGAGGCGGATATGACCAGGGGCCTCCAGAAAGGGTAGTTTGTAAGTTACGTGAAAAAATATGATTTATTTAAATCAGAATGACTGCTCCAGGTGTTTAGCTTGTTTGCTCTTTATTTCAGTATTGGGAGAGTTCATGCATCCCTGTGAAGATGACATTGTTTGTAAATGTAAAACAGAAGAAAACAAAGTGCCTTACTTCAACGCCCCAGTGTATTTGGATAATAAGGAACAGATTGGCAAAGTGGATGAAATCTTTGGGCAGCTGAGAGACTTTGTATCCTTCAAGAAATGTGTGACATACAGTGTTTGTTTCCTAAAGCCTGATAGATCTTTAAGTGGAATTTCTCTAGAATTTTAAAAAAGTTCAAGGCTTGGCTACCCATTAGATGTAAGCAGTCACAAATCTGGCTGCAACTAGGTGCCAGTAGGTGCCTTGTTCACATTAAGTGCCCAACCTAAAATTTTTCAGTATGACAGATTACCTGATGTCAGGCAGAGGTTTCCAGTCAGTACCAGTACAGGCAGATGTCTGTTGGATCCACGGTGGTTCAAGATGTTATTTTTTCTACCTACCTAATTTTCTGCTATAGGCTACTTGCCTAGAACAGAGTTGGATCAAGGAAGTGGGTTTTTTTTATGCATTAGGGGACCTTGTTCATGCTCCAGGTTATTAATTATAAAGGTGAGTTTGTGATAGAATATTCTGTTGTTCATCATCCAGCTCATAAAACTACCAATACAAGTTGTTTTATGCTAGGATGTGCTCTTGCAAAGCAAGCTTTTTTAGACAGAGGCACTGAGTCCATTCTGTTGTCAGTGCCTGATTGACAGAATGCATGTCAAAAGCAGCACAGCTGAGAGAGTAGCCCTGTAACATGGCAGTAAGGCTCAGCCTGTGTTGTTTGGTTGCAGGTCAGTAACTGGCTGCATGCATGTTCCCCTCCCACTGTGTAAAGTCAAATGTGCAGGTTTAAATCACTCTCACACTCTGAATATATTAACTTGCAGATTTGCTTTTTGTATCAGAATTATTTCAATTTCAGAAATGTTCTTCTTACAATAGCATACTAAGAAAATATGTTACTGGATTTTTAAGCTTCTTGCTTACCAATTTAATTAAGCAGAGTAGGCCAAGAGTTCTTTTTGATCTTAGAAGCTGCATGTGAAAGTCCTTGCATATGGGAGAGCTAAAGGATTCTTACAAGTCTGCATGTGGGGTTAGGATGTCTGCCTCCTTGCTGTGGGATGGGGTTGCTCCAGCAGTCCCTGCTGGCTTCTGCCTTTCCACAGCCAGGCAGTTGTAGCACCCAGCAGCACTAGCTGAGTCCCTGCACCGTGTAAATTGTTCCAGATAAGCCTTGATGTCACCCTTGGTCTAAAGGGGTTGTCACTTGCTATACAAATTTGTTTCTTTACAATTTTGATTTTATGTACTCTTTCCACTGGTGTGTTCTTCCTGAGGCCTTATAACATGGAAGGGAAAAAAAAAAAAAAGTTACCATAAAAAACACCGTATTTGTAGCTGGGAAAAAATCCTGAGAAAATTTGAAATAGTTTATCCTGATCTTTTAATTGTAATTTTTCATTTGTGGTGATGATACTTAGCTTCATTTATAAAATACTAATTCAGAAAATGTCTAAATGTGCCTTTCATGTAATAATCAGAATTCCAATGTCAGTTGTTTTATTCCTCTTAAAGAAATTAACAGTATTTTTCTGTGAAACTATCTGAGAACATGAAAGCCTCTTCATTTAAAAAAATGCAAAAGGTTAGTCATTCTCAGTAACATAATTCTAATGTATGTCATCAATTAGATAAATCATCGTCATCACATAATCAAAGCTTTATTTTTTTCATTAACTTTAAAAGCTTGTTGACCTTTGTAAACTGAAGTATTCATTTCCTGTTTCACTTTGGTATCTGCCACATTCTTTCTTCTCCCTGCCCCCCCCAAAAGTAACAAATAAAACTCATACAAATATAATCTATATTTTAATACCTATAACACTGTAACTCCTTGTGTGCTTTCTTCAGTTGGCTTTTATCAGAGGACAATTTGCCTTAAAGGGTTAAGACCAATTTGTGGTTATTTATAAAGGGAGATACTACTGTGCTCTTTATCCTTGGTATTTTCAAAGCCTGTTGGAACTCTCTTCCTACAGTTTTACATTGATCCAGCAAAGCTGCTTCCCCTTCAGAGGTTTTTGCCGAGGCCTCCTGGAGAAAAAGGTCCTCCTAGAGGAGGTGGTAGAGGAGGACGTGGTGGTGGACGTGGAGGAGGAAGAGGCGGTGGTAGAGGTAAGATTCCACAAATGGAAGATGCAGAATGTTGGGGATTTTTGGGGTGAGTTGTACAGATTTCCCCCCCCCCCCCCTTTTTTTTTTTTTTTTTTTTTAAAGCTTGGATATCAACAGTTATATTGCAAAGAAAAATGCTATGTCTATTTCTGTTTGTTGACTCAGTGGAAGAGAGACTTGATACCTATCCAGTGGCAAGACCTAGGCCTCTATAGCTAGCTAAATAACAGCTCCATAGCGAAGGGAGCAGAGTATGCTGCTTTGTAACAAAGACAGAAAGTGTGACCACTGAGCAAACTTGTTGTAGGAGATTGTAGATAATACACACTCAAAACTGTCAGTGAAAGAGTATTTTCAGTATGTTCTAAAAAACTAGTTTGGACAAAATACCCGAGATGCAGTGTTTGAGAGTGAGATGAATGACCTGGTAGATATCATCCTTCGCTTTTTGAACATCACCTGCAACATGCTCCTCAATTAAAGCAGTTTTTTGCCTCTTCTCCCTACTCTGCCCCTTTGCAGTGACGCACAAGTGTTTCAAAGTTTTTTTGTTTTGTTTGTTGTAATGTTCTGTTGAGTTGTAATTAATAATTATTAATTTGTAGTTGTAATTAGTTTTTGCTCTCATAGAGTAAGTTTGTCGTGGAGTTTTGTTTGTGTCTGGTATTTTGGACGTGGTATATCAGATACTAAACAATGCCTGAAATGCCGCAGATGGTCCCAAAAATTGATCAGGTACAGTAGTTTACCTTGTAACTGTCCAGCAATTGACAATTTCTGTTTTTTTGTTGTTCTTTTAAATTGTTACATATAACAAAGAACTTACATGCTCTTCAAAGTGTAATGTCTTTGTTATGATTAGGAGGATTTGGAGGAGGAAGAGGTGGAGGAAGAGGAGGAGGATTCAGAGGAGGAAGAGGTGGAGGAGGAGGAGGATTCAGAGGAGGAAGAGGTGGTGGAGGCAGCTTTCGGGGTGAGCATGAGGTTTTTATATTTCAGTAATAAGAATGGCTCCTGGTTTATAAAGCTTTTAAACATTAAACAATGTTGTATTTTTAAGTCTCTTATAGATGTTTATAGTTGTATGTGAAAAGCTTCCATGTATCACAGTAGCTGGCTTAAACCACAGCACAGTATTTTGCATTTTTTGATGCTTGTTTAAGACCATGCTAGGCTTTTTGCCTTCAGAAAGGGCTCTGAGAATAGATACTTGCAGGAAATTATTTTATTCTATCAACTAATTTGGTGTATATAATTTATTTGCTTTAAATGCATCTAAAATGTGAATTATTTGGTGTCTTTTTCTTCCCCCTTAACATAGGAAGAGGATATTAAAAATGGAGCCACAAGTATCTCCCTGCTGTCTTACCATATCACCTGCAAAAGTGAAGACCAAGGAAAATTTTTGTAAAGGACCCTGAAAAAGTTCTTTTGTAAAGAACTTGAAGCTGTAAAATGACAATTATTTTTACACTTGACTGTTGGGCAACATATGAGCAGAGCGTAGCCCCAGGTGAAAAACTGAAGACTGCTCAGAATATACTTGAACTTTTAAAACTAAGCCAGGATTCAATGTTATACTTAAACTGTTTCTGAGAAGTGACAGAGTGAATGCCTGACTTCCTGTTGGAGTTTGGAGTAAGCAATCAATTACAATGTTTTTTCAAAAAGCCCTTTGGGTTCAATACATGCACATCATCAGTCTAAACCTGTTATCTGTATGTGACTGATCCTCTTCTTATATTAAGTCTTCTGAATCTTGCTCTAAGTGGACATTTAAATAATCTTCATGGACCTTTTTTTAGAAACTAATCTTCACAATTTTGTGTTGATAGAAAGTTTTTTGTAAGTAATAATGTATAAAAAAGGAAGATAGCAAAGGATATTTTGGTGGGTTTTTTTCTGTATAAATGTCAATGAAAGCCAAAGACATTAACACATACTCTTCTTAGAAGGTGCTATCTAATAAATAAGACAAGGTTAATACTGTTCTTAAGTCACCTAACTTTACTGATACTAAAATTGCTAATGTTTTTTTTAACTGCCCCCACCCCCCTTAGCCTGTTTCTCTTGAGGCTTTGATGTCCTGGCCACACACCTCTGTCATGCTCTGAGCCTGCATAGGGCTGAGATGAGACAGCCTGTCGTAGGACTTCTCTGCACACAGTGCTTTCAGTTAAGCGGTACTGAAAGAAGGTACCAGAAAATCTGCACAAGTTTTCAGTCTGATTAATTGGATGGATTGTGAAGATAGTTGAAAAGCTAGTAACTCTCTCTTCCTGAAGATGGAGGAGAACAGGGTGCCTCTCTTTAACTTTGGAAATAAAATAAGAATAGAAAAGTAGAATGTCTCTGGATTTCATCCAGGGCTGAGAGTCTCTTCACAGGCTCTCAGACCAAGCACTTTTGAAAAGGAATCTATAGAGTAATGTACGTGAGTGTTGTGAACGTCTTGCTCAATTTGGAAAGAGGTACGTTTCAGAATTGATCATGCTGTTAAACCTTTTTATTATTTCAGTAACAGGCAAATGAATTATGTTAACCTTAGCAAAAAGAAAACAGGTAATTTGTCAGCACCAGGGTGGGACAGTTACTGGTTATTTTAACAAAAGTGACTGCTAGTTTAAATAATCTCTGGAACAAGACTTGAAACAAGGTAGCAAAACAAATGTTCAAGAATTCAATTAAGTCTGAACAGATAGGCATAGGATAATAGATAAAAAGTTCTTCAGCTTAGAAAGCTCGCTTAACATTGGAATTTCTGTTGAACCTGCTTTTGTGAGAACAGACTGCTGTTCAACTGGAGCACATTCAGGAACTGAGAGATACCAGTTATTGTCCTGGTATTGCTGCAGACTTTAACCAGGACAGTAAAATCCAGACTTCTGAAAATATTTAGACTTCTGTTACTGTGTATTACTAGGCCTAAGTGACTTAAGAGCTCAGACTTGGGGTATTGTAGAGTTGCTCTTTATCTAGACAAAATCCTATGCAGTGTCTCTGGCACTCCATATTGTGGTTGGACAACACCACTGATCTGCAGTGAAGCTGAATTGTCACTACTTTTGTCATGTTTGTAATTGCATCCTCTGCTGTGGTGTATTTCTTCACTAATGCTTCACTAACTAGTTGTGCCTTTAATCTTCTGGCTTTGGAAGACTAACCTGTGAGAGAGAGTCCTCATTCTTACACCTGAAAACATGCTCTGCATTGCTATTCTCATTTGTATGCTTTAGGGACATCCTTTTTCTCAGGATATCAGACACTGTACTGCCATCAACTTTAAAATGCCTGATGAGGCAACTGATGTTTCAGTTCCACGAAGTACCATCTTGCAGCCTAGGACAAGAAGAGTGTGCTTGGAATCTTGCAGCAAATGGAACAGAGTCAGCCTGAAACCGTTGTGAGGCCAGAGGAAAGACTTTTATATGTGTGTGCAGAGGAGTTAAAGAATAATATTCATTGAAGTTCCTGAGGGAAGATCGTCCCCCTGATTTTAGGGAACTGGATTTCAGTCCCAGCTGAGAAATGCATGAGGAGCATTATGGCACGCCCTACTAATAGAAACAATGTTGGATGGGATTAGCACAAATATCCAGAGAAAATTTATAATCTTATTCATGGTGGAGGTTGTGGGATGTTCAGATGCTGATGAAAGAACAGCCTTAGTGATTGGACGTGAAATGAGCCACCATTATGAGGAAGCGGTGTCTGGACATGTAGTGATGCTTTTTATTTTTCTTTTTTCCCTTGCCCATACTGGGGAATGATTTGGTTTGGTTCTTGCAAGGCCCGTCCAGTCCCTGTAGTGCATTGTCTTTTCTGTGCCATGGCAGGACCCTGCCCTCCAAATGCAAGTAGTTGCTAACTGCAATCCACGAAAATTCAATGTCTTAAAAAATTAAGATGTCTTGCCTGCAGTGTAATGCTACAATGAACTAAAATACAGGTTCTCTAATTTTATAACACTTTCTGTCTTGAACTTTTTATTTAAATGTGGTCTGTGACTGTCACTGTGCTCCTGATCGTAGTAAGTTAAGTGTGTTATATATGTGCTTACAGAAACCCTAGGCTTTTTCTGCAGAGAACAGGAAAGGTGGGCTCACAAGCACTCTGACAGAAATAGGTATGTTGGCAGAAATGGGAAGTTTCAAGTATCTGTAGTGTTGGGGGAAAAAAGGCACAGTGCAGTCTGAAGTGAGGGGATGGAGGGAAGGTGTTAGTGGCAGCCTAGCTCTTGATGACAGTTTGGTGTTTGCTGGATTTCCCCTCCCTGGCAGCCTTTGGGGCAAATGGCTGGGCCACCTTAGGGACTTCTCAGCTGCCACCCACTCCTGCAGCACAAAGAGATTGCTGTCCTGCAATATTCCCGTGAAGCTCAGGAAGAAGCTAGGCTTCAGTGCACCACACAGTGCTTGTGTTTCTACCCGGGACACAGCACTAGTGGTGTCACCTGCCTGTCTGCTTATCCACTTGTCAGTGTCTCCATGTCCTCACTGTTGGCAGAGCCTTCAGCGAGAAAGTCTCACTTCCCAGATGTGGTCACAATGAGTGTGTCAGCCCCTGCAATATTTGAGCAGGACAATGAGGTCTGTCTTTCAGCTGATTTTGAAAATGATGGCTGCTAAATCACTGGGATCAGATTGCTTTAAGATGTTTAGAAGACCTTAAGCCTTTTGCCCATGCCACACTAAAATGCTGGTTTTATATTTTCTCTATGTGGGATCTAAATCCTTGCTAAACAGAATAATATATGAAGGTGCGTTGTAAAGCTTCAACTTTGACCCATTGAGAATGGCTTCAGTGCCCCTGCATTCCTTCTCGGAGGGATGTTTTTTCTCCTTAGGTTTTTTGTGGTTACTGGTATAGGATGGCTCAGTATAGGTCATAGATTTGATGTGCTACCTTAACAGAGAAATGTGATGAAGTGCAGAAAATAATTGGGATATTGTAATGCATGTCTGCAGCACTGCCTGTTGTCAAACAGAAAGGATTCTCTCAAGCACTGACATGGATTTGTGGACGGCTGCCTGAAACAAGGCTGGATAGTTACATTAATAAGTAAAAAGCTTTGTGGAGTCACGTGTTTCAGGCTGTTTTCAGTCGGCTGAAAATCACTTTAGAGTAAAACTTTTCTAATCAGTTTAAATCTGGTAAAAGTCTCTGTGAGGGAGGAAGAAAATAATTTAATAATTTGTTTTCCGTTGGTTTGAACCATTTGCATCTGTGAAAATAAGATTAAAGGGAACTTCTGCCTTACAGAGCCCTCTTGTGGTGATGTGTGTAACAAATGTGGGAGGATTAGAATTTGTTTTGTTTTTTAGTGTGTTTACCACTGAAAATGGGAAAGAGGGTTTTGTTTGTTTGTTTTGGGGTTTTTTTTAAATGCAAATGGTAAGTTTCTCTGCTCTCATCAGTCGTGGATTGAAATATACTTTGTACCTAACTGAAATACGCTAAACCCTGTAGTGAATTTTGCATTGCCTCATATCTATACAGGTACCTACCAATTGAAAAATGGACTTAAAGAATCATAGAATCACAGTTGTCACAGAATCACAGAATCACAGTAGTCTTAGGGGTTGGAAGGGACCTCAAAAGATCATCTAGTCCAACTCCCCTGCCAGAGCAGGATCACCCAGAGCACATCACACAGGAACGCATCCAGGTGGGTTTTGAATGTTTCCAGTGAAGGAGACTCCACAACCTCCCTGGGCAGCCTGTTCCAGTGCTCTGTCACTCTCACAGTAAAGAAGTTTTTTCTGATGTTTACATGGAACCTCCTATGTTCCAGTTTGCACCCATTGCCCCTTGTCCTATCGCTAGTCATCACTGAAAAAAGCCTGGCTCTGTCCTTCTGACACTCACCCTTAATGTATTTGTAAACATTGATGGGCTCACCCCTCAGTCTCCTCCAAGCTAAAGAGACCCAGCTCCCTCAGCCTTTCCTCGTAAGGGAGATGTTCCACTCCCTTCATCATCTTTGTGGTTCTGTGCTGGACTCTTTCAAGCAGTTCTCTGTCCTTCTTGAACTGGGAGGCCCAGAACTGGACACAATATTCCAGATGTGGCCTCACTAGAGCAGAATAGGGGGGGGAGAACTTTTCTTAACCTACTAACCACTCCCTTTCTAATACACCCCAGGATGCCATTGACCTGAGAAGTTGCATTTTGTTGCTACTGGTCTGAGACAAGCGGGAAGAAAAGCATCTACTGAGGCTATGAAGTGCTCTTTTAATACTAGTAATTCTGTTATTGGAGGATAAAAACAGCTGGAGGTTTTGGATTTTTTTTTAATTATTTTTTTGTGTGTGTGTGCCAGTATTAAAATACAGTGTGGTAAGCCATGTTTTATCTGGCTTAGGGACTGTTTCATATTTTCTGGATTATTTGTATACTTTATTTCCTTGCTTTGTTTTTTTTAAATTTTGTTTTATGAACTGCAGTGTTCTAGAAAAAAAGGACGGACGTTAGAGTAAGTGTATCCTGCTTTGTCAAGAAATTGACATTTGTGTCTTTATGTTGTGCTGTAGTTTTGTGTGTTCACTGTGGTGATGGGAATTAATTCCAAGCCGGGCTGATGACCAACTGACCTGAGCCAACTTTCGTTGAGGTTTCTGAAGCGTTGCACAAGAGGCTTGAAGGAAAAAGTTTGGGGGCATGTGACAGTTAATCTCTTTAGCAATAAGAATGAAGTTTAAGCACACTGTTGAAAATGTACTTAGTTCTGTGCTGCTCTTTGTTTTAATTAACAATCTCCTGCATAGATTGAGAGTGTAAACTTCTTTGCACCTTAGTCCAATTAAATCATGCTTAGAGGCTGTCAATGGTGGGGGGAACTCCCCCCTACCTTCCTTTTTTTTTTAATTGTTCAGTGAGTTGAATAATGAAAGAATTTGCCTGACAGGTTTTGTAGTGTTTTGTCGCCTGGATGAATGATTGCGGAGGATAGACTAGAGTCTCTTTTGACAAGAATGCATTGGAATGATTCATCCAATTCCTCAGAAAGTGACAATGAAGCTCATTCAGCCTTTACACAGACAGAGCACAACATAGTTGCAGCTTACTTAATAACTGCAGGTATGGACATTGGCAAATTGTTGCATGACTTTTTAAAATAGAACTGTAGATCTGAATGCTCATTTTGTGTGGCAATAGCAGTGGTATTTCATTTTGTGTTACAGAAATGTCCGAGGGCTTTTCTCCGTAAGTTACTGACAAGTGAGCAATCAGCAAGCTGACTGAAGTGTGCAGAAACATCTAGGTTTTCTGCTCTATATATGAAGGCAGCCTTGTGTCTTGAAAAATACATTTTGTTGATATGTAATTATAGAAGAGAGTGAGAACTCATTTCTGCCAGCTTGCAAAAGAGATAAAAATAGGGCATAGCTGTCACATCTTGCATTTTTCTGTGATGTGCTCGAAGCTATCTTGAGATTTCTCCTGGGCCACATGTTTGCAGTAATTATATGTGTAGTCTGAGCATGTGAGCAGGTGTCTGTTAGGGGGATGTAAGGGGAAGGGTTGGAATGTGGCTTGGAGGGAGGGAGCCGGTCATTAATCAGAGAAGAGAAGACACCAGTTGCAGCTGTATTTTTCACTGATGACACACATTAGAAAAAGCATGATGGAAGGCTTGACATAGTCTTTGTTCCCAGTGACTGCAACGGCTTTTGGCTAACCTTGAATGATTATGGAATAATTTTTATTTTTCCGTTGAAAAACTGTATATTGTTATAACCAAAACTCTTTCAGTGATTTTTTTTATTTATTTATTTTTTTTTCCTGAATCATTGAGTGCTGTAGCAATTAAATATCAACCAGACCAAAACCTGAAGCCTATTGTGTTTAAAAATAGGCCCTTATTATGGAAAGTTAAATCCGTTTATAAATACTTTGTTAATAAACCGTGTCATATCTTTCTGTGTTATAACTAGCTTTTAAGATATTTTAAAATAGAAATGTATTTTAGTTTTATATGAAGTTGTTTTGCTGATGGTCACGTTTTATTTAGTGTATCTGTTTGAAGTGGTGAGTACCAAGCTGCTGTTCTGGTAAAAACATTTTTTTTTAATGCAAAGTAAATTATTTATCTCAGGTTTTTAGAGAAATAGGTAGAACAGCTACACAGATTGACAGACTTGTAAAGAAGCTGGATGATGGGTGAAGATGAATAAGATGGTCAAGTATTGGAAGGTTAGATACACTCTGCAATACTACCACACTACTTACATGTAACTGGATCTATTAGGTGCTGCAAATATGTATGGTAATTGTTATATTTAAATTAAAATTTATTACATTGTATGTAACAAAGTGAACTTTTCAGAGTTTGACCATCTGGTATTAGGCATCAAAGCTATCATAGGTGGTCAGTGGGATTAGTCAGAATCCAGCTCTTCTTTCTTAATCTTGTATGGAAGTTGGATTACTCCCCTCCCCAACCCTTTTTTTTTTTTTCTTCTTATAATTGGGGGATTCTAGTAAATCTTTCACCTGTAGCTTGAACTTTGCTTTCTTAATGAGGGCTGTTTTTGATAAGGTCTGCATCTGGAAAGTATGATTGATTGCTTTGCAAATGCCTTACCACAGCAAATCTCGCATCTGGAAAATTTAAATTGTGTTAATCAGCAGATGTCTAAGAATAAGAATGAAGTACAGGTATAGTGTTCATTATTATGCTCCTTTTTAAAAGGTTTGAATGTTTCTCTCTTTTGCAAATGATTGCATTGTTTTCTGAGAAGGAAGTAATTGTTATATATTGCACTCCACAGTGGTCAGTATATTAATTTTAGTGATGACTACAGGAATACTCAGATTGCAGGAAGAAATACTGCCTCATGGATATCCTTCAGCTAAAAATGGTGAAATGCTCTCATGTAATTTTAAATTGCTAACTGGAAAAGTAAATTCCATGTTATACACAGACCCAATCGTCATTGTTTTGATGCTACTAGCCCTGTGTCTCGCTCAACTGTTTGGGCTTGTTTGTACTTGGTCTGCCTGGAGTTTTTGTTGCTTCCTTGAGAAGAAGGAAAATAAGAAAGTCTTCTTCCATTCATCAGGTCATGAGGTTTTTATCTTCATCTTCACAAAACTACAGTGTTTAATTAAGGAAATACGGGAATAGTCGTCTAACCCTACGATGCTTCACAGACAAAGTGATGGCATCCGTGTGCTTTTTCTGCATGACACGAGTTCACTCCAGCTGACGAGTTGAGCTTACTGCAAGTCTTGGGCTGGGTCTGCACTCCCTGCCCTCTAAGAAGTAGTAGAATCATAGAATTGTTTAGGTTGGAAAAGGCCTTTTAATATTATTGAGTCCAACTGTAAACCTAACACTGCCAAGTCCACCACTAAACCATGTTCCTAAATGCCACCTCTACATAGCTTTTAAATACCTCCAGGATGGGGAGTCAACCACTTCCCTGGGCAGCCAGTTCCAACGCTTGATAAACCCTTCAGTGAAGAAATGTTTCCTAATATCCCATCTACACCTCCCCTGGAACAGCTTGAGGCCATTGTCTCTCATCCCATCACTTTTTACTTGGGAGAAGAGATCAACCCCCCTCTCCCTTCAACCTCCTTTAAGGGAGTTGTAGAGAGCAATAAGGTATCCCCTCAGCCTCCTTTTCTCCAGGCTAAACAACCCCAGTTCTTTGGCTACTCCTCATAAGAATTGTGCTGTAGACCCTTCACCAGCTTTGTTGTTTTCCTAATGGTCACTGCTTAACTGCTGCCCAGAGAAACTTTGTTCTTCCACTTGACCTGATTATCAGAAACAGCGAAGAGAGTATTTTTGGAACGTATGTATTTTTTCTCACTTTGTACAAGATAGAATTCTAGAATCTGTCTTTCTTATATTTTGCTCTCCACATTTTTATTTTATTTAATTTATATTTGTTCTGTATTATTAATTTGTTTCAATCGTACTAAAATTTTTAATCTAGGCATAGCAATTTCCTCTTTCTCTTCCCTGGTTTGGTTTGGTTCCCTCCCTCCTCCCCTTCTGTATTTTGAGATTGGGTTCTGAAGCACTAAATATGTGTGTCTAGCAGGATCCTTGCTTCACCCTGAGGATGTCAGTTTACAGTCCTGTTGCATTTCTGATTTCATTCTTGATAGCTGTAATACCTGTAAAAGCATGCCTCATAAGAAGCCTGTACTGTTTTGTAAATTTGTAATTCTATTTTACTTCCTCTCTCCCAAGAGATGGTACACTACCTGTCAACAGGAGAGCTGGCACTGCAAGTGCTTTTACTGTGTTGTGTGTTTCAGGTCAGATCCCTAGCTCCCTGCTGTTGTTCATTTCGGGGGCTCATAGCATCCCAGTGTGACTCATGAAATGTGTGATTATATTAATATAATAGCTGGTGGCATCTATGTCACTATGCACCTCCAACTTCTGTAATGTCATTTTTATGTACTGAGCAGGAGACTTGCACCTGAGAACAGACATAGTTGGAGATTTTAAAAAGAGTGGAGAGACATAGCTAAGAATTAGAATTTTAAAATTGCTGAATCTGTTAAGAGAATTTCTGTAATATGAAACTGATGCTGATTGATAAAATGTTGCAATGAAACTTCTTAAATGAGTTTCAGGTATGATAAAAAAGGTATAAAATTATGTAACCAAAATGGAGGAACTCTGTTTAGAAGCTGAAGACTTAGTGTTGTCCCTAGTGTCCAATTATCCAAAGTGTTATCCTTGATATATTTTTATGCATGGTGTTATGATTGCACTGGCTTTCCTTCTGCCCCTTTCATATCTTTCATGGTATTAGCATTGCTCTTGCTGAGCATAGTCGTTCAGATGATACTTCTGATGTGTATTTGACTCTAGAAATGTCTGCCTCAGTTTGCTGCATTGGTATGTGTGCTGGTATTTATAAAGCTATGGATTGCATAGCTTTGCATCATAAGCCCGGCTTTTTTTTTTTTGCCAGCAACCAACCTGCTCTCTTTTTTGCTGTGGAAGACAGCACTGTACTCGGTGGTTGGAGTGTTTGAATTGTAATCCCAGATGCTTTTGGATTTCTGTTACGCTTGTTGTCAGTGTATCAGAAGTCCCAGGTTCAGCAAAGCACTCTACATATGACCCTTAGTGCATCCAAGTGAAAGTTACCTAATTGGAAAAGCTTTTCTCTCCTTTCCAGGTGTTTAACCTTTTTGCAAAATTACACTTGATTGAAAATAAAACTTGTTTAGGACGTGGATATTACAATAGGCTGCCTTTTCTTCTGCAAGTTTTTAACTGGCTGTTGTGTCTCTTTTGTAAAGTTTTCCTTTCTCTGTTTTTACAGGAGTGATAAGTATTTTCAGTAACATTGTTGTGTTAAGCATCTTTGTTAAGTACAAAGAGCTTCGGACAGCAACCAATGCAATTATTATCAACCTGGCTTTTACTGACATTGGTGTTAGTGGCATTGGTTACCCCATGTCTGCTGCCTCCGACCTGCATGGAAGCTGGAAATTTGGATATACTGGGTGCCAGGTATTCCAATTCAGTCAGAGAGAAAGTTCTGAGCACTTAAAAGCAAACTGAGAAATAAGTAGTAGCTCTACCTAATATTAGTTCTTTTAAGAGATAAGATGGAGATGTAAAACTTGACTATAGGCCTGAGTTTGATGTTCTGCAAAGTCAACCATTCTCGATGTAGGATTTTGTGTGAATTTTGTTCCAAACTTACAATCTAAAAACATTGAAGTGTAACCTTATATATATCAACTAGAGGTTTTAAAATAGCTTTAAGAAAGACTTAGGAAATTAAATCTCAAAATGAAGAAGGTTATAGTGCACATGCACATTTGGTGACTTATTTTACCATTAGAAGACTTTGGATGTGGCTACACTTTTGGTGATGAGCTTGACAGATTTAAAATTAATTCTGCTTGGCAAATATGTTCTTTTGGATAGAACTCTTAGGATATCCAAAATGAAGGCCTGCAAGACTACTTGTTTCCAGTAAAAAAATAACCTAGTTTAAAACTGTCTGTTTTTAACAATAAACTGCTTGAAAAAATATACTTCTGTAGCAGAGATGGTGCCCTTTGCTTGTGTGTACTGTGATTTTAATCTACTTTTTATAAAGACTGTTGGGCTTAAGTGCCAGGAAAAAATAGTAGTAATGTGAAGATATATGGTGAAAATGTGACTCAAGTAAAATATTAGTAACTCTATACATTTTTAACCTTTATCTCATGGATGTTTGTAACAATCTGACATCACTTACCAAAGTACAGAAGCTCAAAATTCAGTCATTGTTTGACAGGAAGCCTCACTTTTAACATCTTTGGATTTAGACTGATTTGCAGTGGGTTGAAGTTGTGAATTTTCACTGCCAGTGCTGTGGGAGTTAGGATTCCTTGAAGCATAACTCATGTCAACCCAAAACAAGTGAATCCTGTGAACTGAGAAGGCTGAATGTCACGTGGTTCTACTATCACTGCTTGTGGCATGTGTTCTGGCACAGGGCTCTGTATTTCTGGGGTGCCAATGGTAACACAGCCTGCACCCCCAGTCATCCTTCCTGATCGCGCTGCCCACGGGATGATGACTGGACAAATCCATTTGGAGTGTGTTGGGATTGTAGCATATGTCCCTGTGGAGTAGATCTGACACACATCAAGTGGGGCTGATGGGGAAAGTCAGTGTACCTTATCTGTGACATAAGTGGAATTATACAACAGAGGAAAGAGTCACAATTCAATTTACGGCCTCACTTTTACTAAAGCCATAACTTTTTTTTGATTACTCTAATGCTTTTCAGTTTTCTTTAACATACATTGAAAACATTAATTGAAACCCCCCCAACCTCCACACTCTTTTATCTCTGAATCTCAAAAGTTACTTACTGAAGTATGGTGTTTGTTTGCTTTTTAGATTACAGTCTTTAGGATTTCTGATGTGCACACAAGTAGTTCCCTTTTGAAATGTTTATTTTTAAATGAGCCAGCTCCAAATTGCCTGCATTGAATTAGTTCCTTCAGTACCTTGCTTATGGAAAAGAACACTTGCTGACTGTAATGTATCATAGAGCTTTTGATTCAGTCAACAGATTTGTGTTTATACCTCTGGAAGATCTCTTAGGGAGAGTTTTTTGTTTGTTTTTTTCACTTCCAGATCTATGCTGCGTTAAATATCTTTTTTGGAATGGCGAGTATTGGTTTGCTCACTGTTGTTGCAGTTGACCGATACCTGACAATCTGCAGGCCTGACATAGGTACTGTACTTAAGGTCAAAAATCATTCTCTGTTGGGCTTCTATGAAATAAGAGTGTAAGGGTATTGTTTTCTCATTAATTACTTCATAATTACAGTCCTGGGCATAATTTGAATACAGGACATGATCCTACAGTATTTGATTCAGTAAGTTGTCTAGTTGGGGTGGATGGTACTGCTTGTGAAGCCAAGAATTCCACAATTAGGCTGTTATTCAGTTATAAGTTGTGTTTTCATGGCTGTTTCTAGTCTTTAGAGGGCCACATCCATATACAGAAGCACACTAAAAGCCTCTGACTCTGGGAGGTTTTGACCCATGTCGAGCGGGTGCATGCCTCTGGTGTTGTGTTAACACTGTACTGGATTGTTTTACATTCCTCTCTGTTACAGCTGTATTCTAACAGTTAATTCCTCCCCCTGCAATCATGCAAAGATGTACTTGAATGCACTGTTGCATAATAAGCTTTTTGGCATGGTGTCATGAAGACTGTTCTCCACACACAGGGTTAGGATCAAGTATTGCCTATATGCTGCGAGCTGGAATAGGTGTTTAAATGGGTACTGAAGTGGCATTTAAGGATGGAATGCTTGAGATGTTGCTCAGCAGTATGAAACAGATATGCTATGGTGTTTGGGAGTGTAGGCTTTTGAAAGGATCCTTATTAACCTGGTGTGTGCTTGCTGGAAGCTGCTTGTCCTTGCAGTTAAACACCATAAAGAAGCAACAGATGACAATGGTTTGTGATTGTCTGTGCTTGGCCACAGGAAGAAGAATGACTACCCGTACCTATGCCATTCTAATCCTTGCTGCTTGGATAAATGCAGTCTTTTGGGCTTCCATGCCCACTGTAGGCTGGGCAAGCTATGCTCCGGATCCAACTGGAGCAACATGCACAGTAAATTGGAGGAAGAATGATGTGTAAGAGTCCCTTTGACCCCTTCTTTTACATTTTTTTGTCTCATTGAAGGCTAAGTTTACTTGATTCACCTCAATACGCGTATAACTTCTTTCTGAATTGAAAACTGTGAGATTTATAGTTGCTGATAAAAAAAACAAAGCTAAAAAAAATTTCCTGATTCTTTAAAAGCTTGTTTTAAAATCACAGAATCAAAATTATTTAGTTCATTAGTAACTTTTCCTGGAAGGCTATTTGTAAGTATCTGTGTTTTGTTTTTCTGTCTTGTCAGGTCCTTTGTTTCCTACACAATGAGTGTAATTGCTGTTAATTTTGTTGTACCTTTAACAGTCATGTTTTACTGTTATTACAATGTTTCCCGAACAATGAAACAATATGCCAGCAGTAACTGCCTGGAGAGCATCAATGTAGATTGGTCTGACCAAGTAGATGTGACAAAGGTATGGTCATTGAGCACATGTTTTGTTTTATGCATTTTCTTTTGTGTCCAGGTTTTTTGGGGAAAGAAGCAGTGCAGTCTTTTAAGCATTTTTGTTTCTCACATTCCCCCTTTCCCTTTAATATTAAATGTTAATTTAAATTTAGTCTTGGTGATAACACTTGGCTTATATAATACTAGACTCTACTTTTGGCCTAATACTCCTTCCAGATGAATGGCTACTTTGAAGGCTGGGAACAACATGAATATTCTTTGCCTCTGCCCTCTATCATTACATAGAAATGTACCTCAGAGTTGACATAGGAGGCCTTTTCCTTTGTGTCTGCAGAGTCCTTAGGCTTTCTGCTAGGTTCCCTAGTGTATCTGGTTTGAAATGAATTGATTAACTCTGATTTGAACTGATGGCCTAGAAATGAAAGCATATTTCCAAGCTCCTGAGCTGTGTTATTCCAGTCCCTTGTTCTTTTCAGTTTGTTGAGCATAACTCTTTCTTATGTAAACAGTAGCATATGTGAGTTATGGCATAAAATGATATATCCTGCCTGGAAGGTTGACATTCTTTTAATGCATAAAAGTGCTTGAGAAATTTGAAATTCACTAGCTCCTTTGATTTCGTGTAAAGATATGATAGATTGTAGAAAAAAAAAAAAAGTGAGAGAGAAGTGGTCAGAAAAGTATGTACCTATGCTTTTGAATTACTAAGCAAAGCAAACTTAACATTCCTTAGAAAACTTTCTCATTGCTGAATTCTAAGAAATGGTATTTTTAACTAAAAATAATAATTTCAGCACTTCACTCTTCTGAAGAACTCTTAGAATGCTTGAAACTGAGGATTCAGTTACAAATATAGACTCACATTTGTGAAGAAAAGACATTTTTCCTGTTTTGCAGTTAAAGATGGAATTATATTAAAAACAAACAAAAAAAAAAAGCCAAAGCTTTAGATTCTTCTTTAGAATTGGACTGCTTGCTTTTTCACAAATTAACATCTTCTAAACTTCCTGTGCACCAAACAAACTTCTAAATGAAAGGGTTCTTTTTTAATATATATATTTTTTTTAATTATTATCAATAGAAATTGCATTTGTGTTTAAATAGGAATCTTTCATGGAGAGAGTCACTATTTATTTGGGATGCTCTAGAACAGTTCATACAATGAAGCCATGTACTTCTTGTTTCTCATTTTGTTTATCACTGAAAGACTGAATAAGGGTATAGGTAAACAATACTAGAGAATCTTCTACATACAAAGAGCCCTGCAGGTTCTTTTTTTTTGTTTTTTTGTGATCTGTTTTGTCCTGTTGATTAATCTGAGATTTCCATTACAGTTTCCAATACTGATTCATGTCCTTGACAAAACCCGGAAAAGTCTGTCCTAGTTAATTCCTCTCCTACCCTCCCACTACCCCCAGTTTGTCCCTGTTCAGTTCTGGCTGTGTCATGGTGTGTTCTGGGGTGTGAGCCCCAACATGCCCAGAATGTTCTCTCTGACAGGCAGGCAGAGAAGACATAACTGCCTGGATATCTCCTTAGCATGATGCTTGAACACAGCTTTTGTGCTTCTTTAAACCAAGCAGATACTTCTAGGTTCCTTAAGTATATGGACTGAACTTTTGTGTTCTGTAACTTTCTTCTATTTAACTGTACCATATTTAAGCCTTATGAAATGCTTTTATTATCAGCCTTATTAAAAGTTTGGCTTAGTTTTTTCTCTCCATTCATATTTATTGTTTGTAATACCATCCCATAGTGACCTGTTACAGAGGCCACAATACATGCATGAAGTCCTCTCTGGCCACTGTAATTTCTGATGGACAGATTTAACAAAATCAGTAGTACTGACTGTGAAGGGAATTTGTATGGAATGAAATAATATCATGCCAAAATGCATGGCAGTGTGACGCATCATTAAATCCCCAAAGTGAGATTTCATTGTAACCTGCCAAAATCTGTTAGATGCTCTTTTTTATATGTGGTTAATTGGTTCTGGATAGCTCTGTTTTCACACAGGTGCATGTGCTTTGAGGTTAGGTTGTGAGGTCTTCCTCTTCAGGTAATACTAATTATGTGTGTGGTGTTCTTGTTTTACAGATGTCTGTTGTGATGATTGTAATGTTCTTAGTGGCATGGTCTCCATATTCTATTGTGTGTTTATGGTCTTCCTTTGGAGACCCAAAGAAAATTTCTCCTGCAATGGCCATCATAGCTCCTCTCTTCGCAAAATCTTCCACATTCTATAATCCCTGCATTTATGTTGTTGCAAACAAAAAGTAAGTGTTCTTAATTTAGTACCAGTTGATTTCATTATTTTAGCATATCGTCTAACTATAAAAGGATCATCTGTAAAATATGTCAAACTGTTTAGTGAAGAGATCAAAGGGTAAACCACTATTGATTTACCAAAGATAACCTATTGAACAGAAAAGTCTTAAAGAAGTTGGACAGGAAAGTCTAAAAGAAGTTGTTTTAAACATCATCGGAACATACTGAATTGTTACAGATTTTTGAGAGCACATTACCAAAGTTTTTGTAAGACAGTGAAGAAAGTTCCTTTGTGGTTTCCTAAAGGGGCTCATTGTGGATCTCATTGGGTTGCATCAGCAGCAGACTCATTTTAATGAGCATGGCCAAAATGTGTGGCAGCTTAGTGACATGTAACTTCTGTAGATTTCCTTGTTTGATTTGGGATGTGTCATATGCTGACTGACTCGGATGGATCGACACTTTTTTTTTTAAGTAAATAAGCTCAGACTATTCTTTTGTTTTGACCAAGCATATCAAATGCTCTAACCAAGCCTCTGACTTGATAACTGGGTTTTGCGAAGAGGCAACCTCCCTTTCTCTACTACTAACCTAGAAGCAGAGCCTGTGATCTCTGTCTTGGTGAACTTATCTGATCCTACTGACTCAATGAGAAAACACCACATTTTTCCCTCTCCTGTAAGTTCATCTTCATCATTGCTATACCCTGTTGTGGGATAAGCAAAAGCTGCTGTGCCTCCTGTTGTAGAAGACACAGTGAACTTAACTGAGTTATTTCTGTACATGGAAGTACAGGTCCTTCTGAACTCAAAATATGACATTTTCTATTTAGTAAGTTTTACTATAATGAAAAACTGTTGTAATACTTAAGTTTAGCTTACCCAGTTTTTCTTTGTTTCCCAAACTGAGCATTTTTCTGCTGTCCCTTTCTTATCATTTGCAGGTTTCGGAGGGCAATCCTGGCAATGGTGCGGTGTCAGACAAGACAAGAGATAACTATAAGCAATGCCTTGCCCATGAGTGCATCTCAAAATGCACTGAGACC